AATGTTTCAAACGATTGGCCATATTTTGCACTAAATATAAAACCTATTTTTAGTTAGAATTTTCTGTAGAGTTGTTGAGTTTGATAGCATTTTAAAATCGATTCTTAAGTACAGAATTTGCGAGTTATGTCCTCAACATAAGGGCACAACAATAGTTTGCAAATGCATTTTCATTAGAGTTTATCACATAATAAACTTGAATCCATTAAAACTAATCTGACATTAATTTTCTCCTATTATTAATTAATTTTTTATCACAATACTGAATAAATTATAAGTATATAATAACTCCACTCTCATATGTATTCTTTCGTTATAATTGGGTTTATTATTCAAATTATATGACTTTCGAGTTCAAATAAGTTACCGGTGCTTTAAACCTGTTTATTCGTTTTTGTTAACATAAGTTATAATTGAAATTAATTATATGTTAGCGTATTTTCAAAATTAAAATGTTTGCTTTTATTAAAATTAACTTTAAAAATAGATGTAATTATGAATGCATTCAATATTTGATTCTGCAAATGATTATTGATTCAGATATTTACTCAAATTATAAGTAAAGAAACATTTGTATAGAAATCTCGATTTATGAGGAATAAAAGAAATATTAATAAAATGAAGTCTTTTGAGAAAAGTTTCATTATTTGGATTCTTTTTAGTATAGATAAAAGGTATAGAAAGAGATGTTATGATTATTTTGATGATACTTTCTCTCAGCCATAGCTGTCTCCTATGGCTTTGCATTGGCAGTGATGTTCAAGCAGTGAGAGTGGAGTGTCTGGTATGCAGTGGTCTGTCTCTCATGGAATATGGGGTTCAATGGTGTTCAGTTCAGTTCAGTGGTATTCAGTGCTGTACTGTATGTGCAGTATTGTAGTGGAGAAGGGATGCTGTGATGGTGTGGTGTGAGCGCTGGTGAGTGCTGTGAGTGTATGTAATGCCTTTCAGATGAAAAGTTATCCGCCTATAACTAGCGACACATGATTTGGTGGTGTTGTACAGTGTGTACAGCATTTCAACATTACATACAATGCTTTCCTTTTCTCTTGAGGATTACGGACCAAATGACAAATTATTGTTCGCCAGCGCTGTTGATATTTCAGATGTGCACTCGTTATTGTCCTTAAGTTATTCTTTACTGTTTGTTTGAACACTTTAATAATCCTAAAGCTCTGGTATTATGAAAAAGTTACGAACAAATAATCAACAAATCACTCATAATATATGGTTTGCATTAGCGTTCAAATAGTCTTTGAAAAGCGATAAAAATGCAAATAAATATATTTAAGTATATTTTCAGAATTTAGAGATTTATTTGGCACTCATTGAAAAATGATTTACGAGATAATACGATATGATATGATCTGTAGTCACAATAAAAGCATTACTTTCGATGAATGAATGCGTTATAGCAATGAATTCTCTCATTTATAAACTTATATTCTTATAATAAAAATGTTTTTATGATTGTTGAGAGAAAAGGTTTTTTGAATTCGGTTTCACTGAGACATGAATAAAGAGAATAAAGAATAAGAATCGGTTAGAAGTGGTGTTGAGACGAGTGATAAGTAGGCCTATCGGGCCATCATTTTTCTGACGACTGGCACATCATAGCACAGCTCCCTTCCTATGAGTTGCGATCCTTTCATTCATTCAATGCTATCATATCTGCCGCACATATAATGCAAGACTTTTATGTGACTTTCCTCTCAATGTTGCAAAGGAATCGTCAGTTTTGGTGGTTCTGAAGAGTGTGACGAAAGAGACGAATGAAGTTTTGCACTCAACTGAGCTCCAGACCCATTCATGGTTAAGATGGTTGTGTGGATGGCCTCACTGAACGCATCACTGCACCACTCAACCACCCAACCACCCAACCTTTACTCCATTCTCTCTCTCTCTCTCTCTCTCTCTCTCTCTCTCTCTCCCAACTAAGACTTTATTCTGTATTTACTTTTACTTTAGTAGAGTTTATGACACAAATAGCTCATACAATACCCAAAACTGGTGTTATATTAATATTATTACTATTGATATTTCAAAAGGAATCACTGAATTGCTGTGAATGTGTTTCTCATGGCATGTATTAAATCCCTCACAAAATGATCATCAAATTTACGTAAACGAATGCATCCTTTTATCAAAATGTTGTACTACTAGTCATGTAAGTGCTTTCAATGGCTAAACCATTCTGTATGGTATGGTATGTGCAGTGTGTATGTATAGTCCTGTGCTAACATGTGGCCATTAGTGTATTATTCGTTATCTAAAGCCAAAAGATTGTGTGAAATCACTCTAACGATTCTCGAATGACTTTTTCTTGTGATTTAATATAATATCTCTGTTATTAAGGTTTTACTCAACGCTTTATTCCCTCTCTCTCTCTCTCTCTCTCTCTTTACTATCATTTCGTTCAGACATAAGCTTTTATGGACTTATTTATGGGTTTGCTATTAATTAACGCTAATTATTACTCTAACTAATAATTAAATTCTTTAAAATATTGGTTAAATTTATTTAAATTTATGATTTGGGAGAAAATGTTTTTAAAATGAGTTCTTTTATTGGTATAAAAGCTGTTGTGTCGAGGAATTTGAGAAATGAGTTCATAATAAAAAATCTATTGTAAACTCAAAGCTAAATGGCTTTGAAGTGAAAATTTAAAGTTCACTTGAATTATGAGAGCTTTTGAATTAATTTAATTTCTATTTTTATGTGGATTTAAATTTTTTATTTGATTAAAATAATTACATTAAGTTTCAATTACTTTTATATTTCCTTGAAATCTAATTAAATGTAAATTTAATTTTAGGACAAAGAGATGAAAAGTGAAATGAATTGTTGAAAATATGAGAGAATTGTTGAAAAGTCATAATACGGTTCACATGCGCACAGTTAGCATAGATCGCATACATGGGCTCATATAAGACCAGTAGTTATGTGATCGAAGAATCAGTTGGCCTCACGAGCAGACATGTGGTGATGGCTTTGCAGTGCATTCATTCACACATGAAATTGCAACTTATATACAGTCGGCCACTGTTTCACTGTTTTGCAGTTTGTCACTAATGTTTAGACATACAAATTGCAAACATCAAACTAATGGTACTCATCGTTAAACATACTGTATGAACAATCACCATAAGCTAAAACGCCAAATATAAGTGTACGCCTGTTGCCAGTGATACCACTCTTACCGATGATGACTGTGCTCGATGATTACTGAATCAATGGCCAAAGACTTGAGACATTTTCATGCCATTCAGTTGGTGTACATACACGAGACCATCAGTTAGACAGTAATCAATTGGTATCACCGGACCGGTAGTGTCGCTCAGAATATGCTGTTGATTGTGAGGCCAACATGTCTTTCGTGGCTTTCATGGCTTTATTTACCACTAATACTAGTCTACATTAGAGGTGAGCAATGAAATTGATTTATGAGACTATAGTCAGCTGTAGTTTGCATTAAACCATTAATTTATTTAATAAATTGAAAGATTGCTGCAAACGATTGCAGATTATGGAGAACTTAAACTCATGTCAAATGATGGCTTACAGGCCATGATCAGTGCTAATGTGAAGGCACTGGTAGTAATGTGAAGGCACTGGTAGATGACAGGATGGAGAAGCGAACTACAAATTTACTTCTCTGACATTTGCCATAATTAAAATTCTTGTCATTGTTTTGTTCGGAGTCTGTCTTATATTTTCGATTCCCAATTGATTATTAGAAAATTTTTATGACTTTTATTGTGTTTAATAGTATAGTCAGTGCAATGAAGACTGCTATGAATGAGCGAATGAATGTCTGGCATATTGTGCTGAACGATAGAGTGAATAGAGTATAATAAACGCAAACTTAGCAAAAGTCAATATTAACGGCACCTGAAATGGCATTTCAGTGCAATTCATGTATGCATTGGTGTATTGGTGTATGCATTGAATGGTGCAAATATGCCACCACTTTATATGGGATTTGCATTATTCGGGCACAGATGACATGTGAACCACTGAAATGCAGCGAATATTTATAGAAAATTATGCTAATGTTGTCTAACGTTATGTTATTGGAAAATGTAAAAAGAAAAGCATTTAAGTTGTTGTTTAAATGATTCAATAATATTCGCTACTCTCATACAATTCATAATCAGAAATATGCATTCAATTGCCGTCTTTTCGACTTTCACTCATCTCTTATACAGTCATACGGCATGTGAAGTGTATAGAGAGGACAGGGATGTCATTGAAACACGTTTTCTCTTCACCGAAACCGATAATTTTTCACTGATAACACTTGACGGCTCGTCATATGAGCCTTTGCCGTCCTATGCATTATGAAAATGTCTAAAAAACGTTTTTCATATAATATTTTCAGGATAAGAGTATAATTTGGAAAATAAAAATATATTTCTATTCTCTTCTATGGAATCAATAAAGAGGAGAATGAGTGAGAAATTGAGATACGATTTAAAGGAATGATAGCTAAATATAAGCATATTCTGCACTTTGAAGACAATTGTATCTGAGATTTATCACGGAATAGGTAATGGAGAAGATGTGTACTGTATTTGTTGGTCCAAAAAATGCTGATTTAGGACAATGTTATACACATATAGTAGACTCAATAAAGTGTACTTTAGGTCTGATTTTGTTATTTTGTTTGTTTAGTTTTTTGTACGCGATGGCGATGAATGTCAATGAAAAAAATGTCATATATTTAGTGTATAGTATTTTAAGCTAAAACACATTTATCACAAACGCTCCGGACATCAGTTAAGTTAGTATTTGTTACACAAAGTGTGTCTCTGTTTACTCAGCATTTTCTATGGTCTACAGTGAGAGTCAACTGTAATATCTGTGATATTTGCCACTCTATGGACCAAATGTTCACAAAGTAACAGACAAACTGAGAATAACACACAAAAACAGTACAGTATAACAGTTGAGTTTTGTTTCTAATCATAAAAGTGAAAATACAGTCAATGCAAACACCAATGAAGACAACAAAACACAATATAATAGCAGAGGAAAGACAGGGAAAGGCAGGCAATGAAAGGCGCGAAGTGTCACAAGTGAGGGATTCTAGACAATCAGTTGTGGGAGTTCCTCATCGATGTGATACGAATTCAAATCACTTTTTCACCGCTTTCTCAAAGCCTTTATTTTTCAAATATTTTCCCTTTTGTTAACAGAATATTGAGTAGAATCAAGAGAATTGGGTTTAGTTTAGTTCACTCTCTATTAGAGCAACGTTTCAATTATGAAACAATATTTCTTAGCAAATAATAACAATAATAAAGTCATATCTGATGAGAATTTGTTCAATACATACAACAGTTGTAAGCGATTCCCTATTATAATATGATTCGTGTTTTGTTCACTAGTAATGCAGTTGTAAGTGAAAGCGATATACAATTTCCATAAACTTTATCAGTTAATCACCAAAAGGTCATAATAGAGATGTACACAAAGGAGATCACGTCAAGCGTCATAGGCTTTGTACTATCGGTGCACATGTAGTCGATTCTGTTGGTTGTGTCGGTACTGGTCTTTGTTATATTCAAAGGGCCCGTTCAACAGACCCTGTTTTCCATACGATATTGCATGCTATCAATACAGCTTCATACAGTCTCTCTCTCTCTCTCTCTCTCGCTCTCTCGCTCTCTCTCTCTTCACTCTCTCTCTCTCTCTCTCTCTCTCCTGTTGTCGTAATTAATTAGAATAAAGCCTTCGGTAAAAAGTGACTTCAATTTCAAATAACGTAAGCCTTTGTTGATTACTTACAATCGATTCTTTCAATTCAATTCTTTTGTATTACTTTTGCATAAAAATTCTTTCGAAAGACTCGTGAATAAAGTAATCGTTTAAATCTTAATTAATGGTTGAATTGAAGTGAAGTTACGCTAAATTCTCATTTCAAAAGTATTTTTGACTCAAAACGACATATTAGATAGTATTGTATCCGTCAAAGCATTGGAAACACTTTTTTGTGCCAAATTCGCGATTCACGCGACTATTATTAATCAAATAGAGAGCAGATCTACGAATCTGGCGTTTAATAGCTATTACTTAGTTTTTTGAACCAACATTTGTGTTATCTGTAAAAAGTTTCAAACTGTATGGCAATGGATGAATGGGTGGGTGTGTATGAGTTATGCTTCTAATGCTTTACATGTTTATTAGCTTAAAAGGCAAGCATAAGGTCCGACATTAGCCAACATTACCTTATATTCACTTTTATTACATAAATGGTTGTCCTATTGGGAAAAGAGCAGATCGTTATGCAAGTAGTTAGCAATGAGAGCAAAGTCTGGATCACAGGCTATAACACAGACAGACATGAAGTAATGCTATTATAGCTGATGTGAATGCCATGAATGGGTGCACCAAACAATCATCCCTACTATCCCTCCTCTTATCAAAAGCTTTTCATCTGTGCCTCGAGAGCACAGAGAGCACAGAGAGCATGGAGAGCATGGAGAGCGCACTTGAAGTATATTTCAAGTTAATAGTAGTTGTGTTTGACGTACACTATTGGCCTCTTATTCACTCACTAATCCTAAGATGAACGGCATCTCAAACACAATCCAATCCTTGTCTGTGGCTTCAAATCATAGCTCACTTTTATTGAGGATTAGTTGATGAAGAGCACAGTTATGTTAAAGATGTTAGGCATGAGTTGTCCCGTGGGATGGTTAAGGCCTGAACAGGTCTAACAGAGTCTAACAGATCTGCTTAAAGCCCAGCAATTAATCACATTAATCACGTGTCAAATGCTCAATCACTTCTCAATAACACAATTCTTATTATTATTTAACAGAAACCTCCAGCCTGTCTCATGAGTCGACCCGTGCCTTAAAGGCTGCGACTTTTAATTATACAGCACTGGAAGGAGCGCTCGTATATCCGTTTATGTCACAAATAGCTAAAGAAAAATTGGTTTATTACTCCAATGATACGGGAATTACGATCCACTGTCCTCTACACGGTTTGTATTGAATTATATTTTATTTATTACTATTCTTTGGAGTCTTCACAACAATCTATTGATTGTCTCTATTCTGGCATGCAGTGCCGTCCGTATGCTCTACACAAACACATGTATGTAATACTCAATGAGGAATAAGGCAAATATAAAGCAAATATAAATTATTGAATCTCAGAGATAGGATATACAGCGGTATTAGAATTGATGACTCCTTACGAGACTCTCTTTACAAAAGGTTTTATTCGTAAAAAATGATAAAATAGTCGTTTGACAGAAAAAGTGAATTAAAGAATCGTCTCATTTTGCAAAGTCTTATGCCATCGACACAACACTTCCGACACTCCACTTGAATGACGTCTATTAGTCTATAAAACTGGAAAATATTCAAAATTCATATAAAAAAGTCAATTATAAAGTTTAGAAACACTTTATTTAGTTGTTATGTGTTTAGAATTGAGTGGAAGAATTCAATTTAGAAAATTGCAATCCATTGATAATATGAATAAATGAAGTTTGAATAGAGAATAATTTATGACATTAATTGAAAGTAAAGCAAATGTGATTGGGGTTTGGGGTCATGGAATTCATACAACTATTAATGACGGTTATGGTTGTGATGGCAGTGATGGCGGTTCTTTGGATAATTAATTTAGTACTACTTATATTTACAATACAAATATATAGTTAATTGCTTTGGATTGCAATTCTCTTTTTGTCATTACAGTGTAGAATAGCATTCATGTTGTTTAATATTTGATAAGCCATTCATTTGTATTTGATATTTGCAAACTTTCATACAATTGATATAATACAATTCATTGTATGAATTAATTTAAGATTATTATTATTAATGAATGCTTTATTTACTTTAAAAAACTTCTATCCCTAATGTTTGTGTAAACTTGTTGTAAGACTATTTCGATTTCCGAAATATCGATTCAGATAAATACATGAAACAAAATAAATATTAAATGGATATATAAATAAATATTCATTTAAGTAACATCTAAAAATATTTATTTTTGACATGAGAAATGCGACCGTTTCAGTTAATATATAAATTATAAATACTTATTATGTGAAAACGATGAATTAAGGCAACTATTATTTGAACAAATCATTAAAAATTTAATTAAATAGCTTTCGGAGATAATAACTATAATTCTTTGCCTCGCAGTGAGATTTAAAACATGTTAAATTAAATGATTGCAATAAATTTAGATTTAAGACTAACAAACTCTTCAATTTATAGCAACTATCAACTATAACTTACTGCACCCTATAGTAAATAGAATAAGGAATGCTCTCTCTCTCTCTCTCTCTCTCTCTCTCTCTCTCGAAATGATAGTATTTTCATAATTAAATTCTACTCGTATCTTATAATAACATTATTAATTTATATCAGAATTCTTATATGTTAAAAGAATTTATATTTTAGAATAATTTTATAGTAATTTAATGTAACTTTTTTTAAAAGGTATTCTTATAACATATTTATTTAAATTTGAATTTGGTTATAAAATTAAAAAGTCTTAAATTTTATTAGCCTTTCACTAAATTAACTTAAGATAACAAATCAAAAGGGATTTGAAACACAATGAATTGCGCTCTTATTTAAATTTAAGCAGAGCCTCCAATTTTCAGACTTAAAAGGCTTTAGTTTTAAAATATTGTATTTATTTATTTATTTATCATTCAGCGAATATATTGTGTAAAATGCAGTAGGTTTTTTATTCAAATTTTTATACAGCACCATATTCAGGAACAATATTATATTAAACTAGTTATTTTACTAATATATTTTCTAAATAAATATTTCAGAATAAATAAAAATAAATTGTCACAAAATTAAAAACCTATTCCATAATAAAGAATCTTCTATGAGTAATTTAATTTTATGTTTATCCAATTTTATTTAATAATTTTATTTTTCAGGTGATTTCAGCGAAATTAATTGGATTATTATCGGTGAGGAACAATTGATTTACTTATAAAGAATTGCGAATAATTTATAAATTATGAAAATCAAGTTAATTAATAAATATATACAAAATGGTGTCAACTCTTAGAACCGTTCGCTTTGAAGACCAATTCATTATTCGGACGAATAGTGGAGAGAATAGCGGATCTGTTGGAACCGATGGGCAACGGATCTCTAGTAATAATGCCGTTCACGCCATCAGCCTATCGACAAGACATCCATAGTATGACGACATACTGTTTGGGCCGCAATAGCATCGGCACAATGATTAGTGCACCGCAAAGAGTGAGGGCCGGTAAGTAAATCTGTTTATTAGTGATGGCATAAGAATTTTGAGTTTCACTCAATTAATCGGTGAAAGTATTTGTAGTTTTAATGAATTGAGTGAAGTTTGCAATTAAGGGAATCGTTTCTAATTTTGATGAATCACTGAATCAACGTTTGCATCGTTAGCTTACAGTATGAATCAAATGCCAACTGTTTTAAGTATTGAGAGCTTATAATTGGAGTGCAATAGGAGTAGTGGCAGTAGTGGTAGGCCAGCGAGTGGTGAATACAGCACTGGTAGTGAGCACTGGTAGTCTACATTCGCCTGCATGGCATCGCCTTATCTAACCGACCGAAAACATAGAATAGACGAACCGTTAAGAGAAAAATATCACTAATGATCACATCCACGAAGTGAAAGATGTTTATCTGCCGGCCCTTTATCACTAAAAAGTGAAGCTTAAACTATTATATGTTAGATTGTGGTCCAGTGGACAGATATGTTATGAGCGCCTAAACATACTATTCCTTTCTAACAATCAAATAAATGCCAGAATATTTGCCTCCTTTTAATTATTACTTCAATGGCTTTGGAAGAATACAAAGAATTTCACTTATTTTTATGCTTTGAATCCTCGATTGTCTTTAAAATATTCTTACGAATGAAGAATTCATATCATTTTGTTTACAGAGAATAGAGTCGAGTAAACACTGTATTGTTGTCTATGAATGCAAAGGCTGTTGTATTGATGGCCAGATGTTACCCCATTTCCATTTAATCATATCCAGCTAAATTATTATTTTGTGTATTCAGGTACCACCTTTTCCTCATAATCTCTTTCCAAACTATGCCTCCAATCGATACCCACTTTCAGATCAATAACTATTATGAAATCAAATGATTAAATAATTTAATTGCCAGTAATTAAACACTAAATACTTGTATAATACACAACAAGATTGCAAAGTTAGTACAATGTGTTGATATTCTGTAATGTGTTTTATAGTATGAGTCAAAAGATAAGCCGTATTTGAAGCTCGGCATTGATTTTTATTTTCATTTTCTTCTCATATTTTGTAAATATTTCATACAATCACTTAATGCTTCGCCAAAACAAAAGCAGTGTTAAGGTTGCGGTTGTGGTGCTCAACAAGATTTGATGTATATCTAAGTCTCGCGCGAACATTTGCCTTTCAATTCAATTTTCAGAGTTTGAAGTTTTCTCGAGATATTCATGATTTGCATAATAACAAGACATTCCCTAATAAGGCGAATGCATTGAGGGAAGTACTGTCAACTCAACTCCAGTCTCTGTTATGGCAATGTTATAGCACTGTATGACTCTGTTATTCTGTGTTTAATGATTTTATGAGACATACACTGGAGTACAGAATAGAGTATTATGACTGTGTATTGTGCTTATGCTCTACTTATATATAAATACAAACTTATCTCTTATCCACAAACTTCAATGCAATACAACACTAACACTAACACTGTATCCAAAGTATATTCCATTGCCTTCTTTTCACTGCTTTTATCATTTGTGTAGAAATGGACTTAACTTAAGCCATATTATAACCTCAAAAACATTTAACATTCATTAAATGTGTCCAACTCTTCAACCCCTTGATAGACATTAGATACGCGAATGTTTGATAGATTCTGCTGTAAATTATGGTTTTATTACAATAGATTATACAACAAAAGCACAACCAGGATATGATGTGATGATGTGCTCCGAATGTCTAACAATGATATATTCAATTGCAGGCCAGAGTTGCTAACAATAAATGTGGTTTACTCTATGATTTGCACACATACTTACTTTATGATGTACTCTACCCTACCCTACACTACACTACAGTGCACTACACATACTATTCTAGTCAAGAGAATAAGAAAATAGCTCAACACAAACAACTATTTATTCCCAGTGCCTAACACTGTCATACAGTGCCATACAGTCCACTGTATATTTATGTGGTTTTTAATACAAACTCACTAAAAGCCTCTTTCAGTGCATAGACTGTAGACAAGAGATGATTCAAATAGTGATCAAAACAAAGAGATAGCAATTGTATCGATGCAACGATGCAGCCAAACACCAGACCCTTCTTTATTCTCATCACTACCAGTGCTTAAGATGTCTTTACTTGAGAGGAGAAGTGAAAAGAGGAGAGAGAGAGAGAGAGAGAGAGAGAGAGAACATTTGTTTTGAGGTTGTATTTGGGGTTTGGGTTAAAATAGTTGTCCAAAGAATAAATTGATAGAAAATAAGGAATTTTTGAGTTGTGTTTTAGAGTGAGTAGCAAAATATTTAATCGCGTTTTTCATACAATTCTAACAGTAATAAGTTGTAAATGACTTAACAGAGAATGGTTTGACGACTTGACAACAAAATAATGATCGTTGATATCGAGTTACATGAGTGTAAAGAAGTAGAATATTTGTCAAAATAATATAATATTTTGCCACCACTTCTACACAACAACTTCTCTAATATGAATGTTCTGTAAGAAGTGGTATCACATAAAATCGTAACAGAATTTGATGCCTAACTATAAATCATGAATCACATCATTTTATTACTTTTACTAATATTTTATTGCAAACCATTAATATTTATGTTCTCTTATATTATACCCGAAATGTAGCAAAAAGTTTATTAAATTATGTTTCCTTTTAATTCTCATTCAAGTTATCTCTCAAAACTTCGATATCTCTGTTTTCGATGATTATGTCATACGTGGTTGTACTGCAGTTCTCAGGTGTCATATCCCTGAATATATTAAGCCTTATGTTTCTGTCGTGGCGTGGATTAAAAACTCTGTCCATCAAATAGTTGGCACCGGTATGTGCTTATATGCTGCATCAGAATCGCTTTTTTATTCATATTCTTAAAATCGATACCATTTTTATGACTAAATTTAGACGACAAATATAGTGTCTTTCCCAGCGGTGAACTCCATATAAGGGACTCAAACCAATCGGACGACCACTCATTTACTGGATACCGGTGTCAGGTTAAGAATGTGGTCAACAACGAAACAAAGCTCAGCACTCAGGGCACTATTATAATATCAGGTTTGTTGTCATCAGGGTCTATTAGCAAAGTACAGATGACACATATTGCAGTTGTGTTGCCATTGATTACAGTTTGAACTAACATTAGAAGAGAATCACGTTTTAAGTTAGAATAGGATCGAGACTTTTGTATTGAATGGTGTGCTAAACACCAGAACATAAGACAACTGCAAATAAGTGCAAACATTATTGCATTCATTTCTATACAACTAATAACTTATATGAAATATTTCTATACATATGTGCCGACCATCTGACAGATCCATCAAACAGTATAACCCCTCGAATAATAGATTGTCGTTCGGTTGTAGTTGTAAAGGAAGGCACCGATATGTTGGAGCTGCCCTGTGCTGCACAGGCTATGCCGCCGCCGACATACAGGTTAGTAGTGTTTTCCTATTGTATACTAAGACATGCAATAATAAATCAATTAGACGTGAATGTCGACACTGAGAGCACGGAACAAGAGTTTCATTTTAGTTGCTTTACTAAGCTGTCACTTTCATACCATACCAGTCATCAAATACCAGTGACAAATGAAATCAACACTTATTTTAGTTCATAGTTTTAACTCCTTTTTTCTCTAATTTATTCCTTTTTTACTTGAAATTCATTTTCACTATATATGCAATACATTAGCGTCTAGTCTAAAGACATCTTATTCTTAAGCCATAGAATTTGGAGTTTTATTTATTTTTGATTGCATTATAGCCATAAATTAAATCAAACATATGTCTAATTTAATAATACTACCAATACTAACCAATTGTAATTAATACAATAACAAATTAGACCTAACTTAATTTTATTGTACTTTTTAAGAATATTTATAAGAATTGTCAGTAAAATGAGTGTTTTTGTGGACAGTTGGCATCGAGTGACTCGAATGGATGGAGTGAGACATCCAATAGTGGGTCACCAACGCTATGAATACCGAAGAGGATCTCTAATTATAAGAGATGTTCGCTCGACAGACGCTAATAAATACGTTTGTGTCGCCACTAATAGCATCGGTGAAGCGAAATGTGAGACCGAAGTGATCACATTTGCACCGTTGGTGGTGTCGGTGGAGCCCAAGAAGTTGGTGGTCGAAGCGAACCAAAGAGCACTAATCAATTGCTCGCTTTACGGATATCCCCTCAACAAAGTGATATGGATTCACAACGGACACACCATTTCCCCCGAACACCGTTCATATAATGTTCAGTCCTTTTCAGACCAATCAATTCTTGTCATCAATTCTGTGACAAACAGTGATCAGGGTTTGTACGACTCATATCTATACAGAGTATAAATACATATGGTTTGCATGCACTACGAATGGTTATTAACATGATTATCACCTCTCCAACATTGATCTCAATCATCGATTAGAGTAATGAATGAATAGTTAAACTAATAATAAATTATTAGAATTAAAGATAATTTCTTTTCGTGAAATAAAAAAAGCAATCATTTGATTGTTTGCTGTAATATATGTCTATTCGTTAGGCGTTTGGCAGTGTTTGGCATTAAATTCTGGCGGAGACTCGGCTATAGATAGCACTCAATTAATTCTTGATGGTATAAAAAGTAGTAAATGTTATTTAAAACTCATTACTTAAACTTCTGGTGCACTGTAACCATCACTATATAGGTCTTCGGCCCAATTTTATTGAACTGTTTGGCGATCAAAATGTTGGATTAGACGATAGAATATCACTCAAGTGTGTCGGCACAGGCCATCCAATCCCAATGATTACATGGTTTCTCGATGGCTCTGAACTCGACATTAGAAAACAAGAGGCACACACTCTCCACAAAGCACTGGTAGGCTTATTGATTGATAGACATTAGTGTAATAGTTTTTGGCCAAATAGTTTATAATTATTTATAATTATCTAATAGTGGGACGAATACGTTGTCGACAGGAATACAATCGTTAGTTATTTGAATATAACTGTTTCGTCCGTTTTTGACGGCGGACTCTATGAGTGTGTCCTCACAAATAAAGCCGGAAATAATCGACACTCGGCTCACATCAGAGTCAAAGGGCCCACAAATATCAGACAAATGCACACCAAAAACTTCACTGCAATGAATGACATCACACTTAACTGTCCGGTGGTCGGCGATAAGCCCAAGATTATTGAATGGCATAAAGGTTTGCATTCATTTCATTTGCTAATCTTTATATTCGCCGTAATAGATATTGTTATTGTTTTTATTTTTATCCAATTTCAATGGGAATTATCTCAATTTAAGACACATAATTGATATAGACTTTAAATTGAATATGAAATGCTATACATTTTATATAAGTTGTTCGTCGACAAAAAAATAATTTAATTAAATAAAGTGTTGAAAAGTGAATTTTGTTTAGAAGTGTGTAGTTTTCGAAAATATAATAAATTATAGAACTAATAAAATTAGCAATTTATGTGTTTGTGTCTGAGGGGAGAAATACAATTTAAGTAAAAAGTTTTATCTTTGCTTTATATTAGAAAATTCTAAATTCTAACAAATGTTTAATTTTATGACATTTCCTTTCGTTAGTCAAATACAGAGACTATAGTTTGGACCCAAACACTGAGTGCTTTTATTTATAAATACAGTGTATTATTAGAAATATAGATATCATTTCTATAGAATATATTTTATTGAATTTTAAATTGCTTTCGAAGTATTTATATAAACATTATTTCAGAATATTAAAGAAATACAATTGAATTCAATATGAATTCTGTGTTGAGTTATTTGAATTCATTAAACCTTTTGATGATTTTTTAAAATTTCAAAATTCATTCAATTTATGTCAATAATTCACTTTTGATTTGAAGTCCGTTTTGTTGTTAAATTGATGGATGAGAAGCCATAAGAAGTCATCTCAAACTAACATAAATTCTAATAATTTTTGATTGATTTTGAGTCTTCTCCTCACATTTGAGTGGAAATTTTTTTCTAAAGAATACTTTTCATATATAGATTGACTAAAAATAATAGATCTTTTAAAGGGAAAAAAATTAAACACAAAAAGCGAATCCATAGAAATACATAGAGAATATATTTTGTATTAGAAAAATATAGCAAAAAGTTTAAAAGTTTGATCAATAAATGGTTGAAATGTTTGATCAATTACTGCATTTGTAGTGTTGAGAAGATCTTTTGCGCTCACAATATAGCACTTATTGTATAAGAGTAACACAAATCATGAAAACAAAACTTACTTTAATCTGAATTAATGAATAGAAACTTAAATATCATTAAATCATCGCTGCAAACTATACTCTGCAGTCAAAACAATTTATTTGAAACATTTTTTATTAATAACTCTAAACGCGATTCAATTAATTATTGTTTTGAAAGCAGAATCAGTTGTTGTCAAGAAATAAATCTAGAATTTCTATCGCTTTAAAAGCATTTGTTTTGCATTTTTGTGAATTCACTTTTTATTATGAGTTAAAATATTTCTCTTACTATCTGTAAATGAGATGAGAATTGTATTCAATGAGAGTTAGAGAATAATAAATGAAACGTCAAATTTGACTCTAATTTGTGGTCTTTTTTCTAAAGAAATGTTAGAAAAGAGACATTTTAATGCAATTTATAAGTCACTGTATTTTTATTTGAAATTCTAAGCGATTCACTCGAATTATTCACATTTTCATTCATTATATCTATAAAAGCAGTACAAAGTAGTCCTACAATAATACATAACAATATAATACTTATGCTTATTATTAATATTAATATTTAGACGACAAAAAATTGCCACTTAATCACCGGCACCGACTCCAAGCCAACGGAACACTTGATATAATGCATTTGGACAAAAGTGACTCCGGTAATTGTCATATATTTAAGTCAACTCGAAAACTAATTGACTACAAAATTAACGCAAAATGTGTTTCATATGAAGGCATTTATACGTGTATAGCGTTTGGAGATAACAACTTGGATGCTGTGAAGCAATCGTTTCTAATGCGAGTGAAAGGTTTGTTTGCATTAAAGTTGATATTATATGATAATTGAATAATTAATTTCAATGTCTTTAGTGCCGCCCGTCATCGAAGGCTTTAGTTTTGATAATAAATTGCAGTCAGGAATGAGGACAAGAATTTACTGCAACGTTGCACAGGGAGATCCACCCGTTAGCATACAGTTCCTCAAAGATGATAAACAAATAAGCAGTGATCGCGATACAGGCATCACTGTTCAAGAAGTCGACCCCTTCTCCCTGTCACTCGCCATCGCAAACCTCTCAGCCATACATAATGGCAATTATAGGTAAGAGATTAACGGCTTTAAGCCAATGCTATAATTTAGGTTTAAACCTGTCATCCGATCCGTCAAATTTAAATTCACTATTTTTATAGTCTGCTAATCATAGGCTCCGTATCGCATTCACTGCATATAACACTTAGAAAACTAATTTAACTAAAAATAATTTCATGTAAAAGCACTCCAAAAGCAATTATATGGCAAATATTAATAACTATTATTATTTCAACTCATTTAGCTATAGATTTGTCCTATTTTTGGTCCATTTCTATCGCTTATAATCTATTATTAATATTATTTAATCAATTTTCAGTTGCATTGCATCTAATGAGGCCTCGACTGTCAGCTATAGTTCCCAACTTATAGTGAACGGTAAGCTCACAATTGGAAATATTTTCGCTGTATTTATCACAAATTCATTTAGTGCTCAAAATTGAATTCTTGTTGTCAAATGTTTCTACAAAAAAGTTATTAAATAAATAAAACGAGAGTTTATTAAAGAATTTTATTTGACAAATCATTAAATCCCTCAATATTTTTATAATGAATTGGCTTTACATTAGAATTTAATCTAAATTTGATGAAATTCATGGACTCCTTTGTAAAGTCAACAAAAGTTTGAAAATTATTTTTAACTTTCGTTTATTTTGCGCAAAAGAATTGAAACTTTTATTTATTTTTCACTCAAATGAATAGAATAAACGTAAAAGAATTTCATTTGAATCCACTTTCGAGTGATTTCTCATATATTTCCCAAATATTCAATATATAATATATAAGCTATGACTTTTTTTTGGTGGGATTTTTTATACATCAATAATATTTTATTTTATTTTATACAACAGTTATGAAAAGTTGAGATTTTCGGAGAGAATTGATTAATACCTTTGAAAAAGTCGTGATTTTTCATCAAAATGTTTTCACAAAATAAATGAGTGGTAATAGAAGGCAAAGGAATTATATTTGGGAAGTAATTGAAAATTTTATCGATTATTCTACAGATTCTGTACAAATGTTAGCAAGAATATGCTATTTGAGATGCCATTCCCTTCCATAAGCCCTTTTGCACTTCATTTCTATCATTTGTTTAAATGAATTGAGACAACACTTCAAACAAATAAAACAAAACTATTAATAGTATTAAGTGTTCACTTTAATTAACATTACTTTCAATTTGAATTTCAATAGATCTTGGAATTTTCAAATTATATTTCGCTTATGTTTTGTTTTTGTTTCATAAAAGCATTTTATTAATTACTTTACTCTTTATATAAAGACTCGGAATCTATATTTAATTAGGTTTTGTGTGTGTGTTCTCCATATTAGCAAACATTGATCTCGTGTTCAAATGTTTAGTGTAATTGAATTAATAAGATTTCAAGTTCAGTGCAATTCAATTCATTTTGTTTGCCACTCAAACACTTGAGATTTAATTAATGCGATCGCAAACAACATTTTTATGAAACTCATCCACGCATTCAAATCTAAAATACACTTCTTTAGGCTAAAGAATATAATATACAGTATATTATAAATATTGCATATTTTATACATTACTTATAAAACACTTAAATAATAAATAAACAATTTGGTATATTTAAAACTAATTAAATAATCGATACTTTTATCTATTTAAAAAAATAAATTCCTTAAATTATTTACTAATGAAATCAAATACATTTACTAATCTTACAGTCAAATGAATACTTGTTTTGGTAGAGCTTTATTGTGAATCTAATGTTTAATCGTTTGTATTACCAGTGCCTCCGAAGTGGATAATTGAACCGAAAAATACGGACGCAGTCGAAGGAAATAGTGTGAGAATAGACTGCTCTGCTGATGGCTTTCCCATTGTTCAGATTACATGGAAACGACTCCAACACTCCTTTAATAGTGAGTCCAATACAAAGGGAGTCCATCAACAGTATCTCCTGATAAGAAGTGGCCCTAAATATCAAGTTTTCCAAAATGGATCCCTTAAGTAAGGCTTCAATCACTTAATTAATGATTAATGTCTTAGAAAAATAATCTTTTCAAGTATTATATACTGTATTTCCGTTAGACAATAGATTTAAATGAATGGAAACAATAAATCTATTCAAGATTCTCTTATTAGTTTTGTAATAGTTTTAGCACAAATTCATTTTACCGTATATTAATTTTTATAAAATCCTAAAATTTAATTATATTCTAACTCATAATTAGGGTATCGAGTGTTGACAACCTGGATGAGGGCCAATATCTGTGCCAGGGATCTAATAGTATTGGTCCGGGATTGAGTACATTAGTCCATCTCTTTGTTCACATTCCAGCAAAATTCAAGGATTCAAATACTTTTCTAAATATAAGTGTACATCAAAAACATTCACTTGAATTGGTCTCTGATATCACAGGAGACCATCCAATAAGTGTTGAGTGGACTTTCAATAGCCATAAAATATCAGCCGATTCTGGATTCATAATTAAAGAAGAATTAACTAAAAACGGATTGATTTCTATACTAAAAGTGAAATCTGTTTTACAGAATAATTCAGGAATTTATAAGTGCATTGCTATTAATTCTTATCTTAAGAGTCCAGTCGTTAAAACATTTAGAGTTGTAGTTAAAGAGCCTCCAGAAGCGCCTCAAGACATAAGCATAGCCTCCAAATCGAGTCAAACGATCGCAATGTCGTGGAAGAGACCCTATGATGGAAACGACGAGATTCGTGAATATGTGATACAATATGTGAACATTGATCCAAAATCTCAACATTTAAACAATTTTAGTGTTTTTGGGAATTTGTCGACAACTGTATTGAGAGGACTGCACCCGTCCACTGAGTATACAATTGTTATGTTTGCTGTGAATAGTGTCGGCACAAGTAAACCATCGAAAGAAATTAAATTTATGACTGAAGAAGAATCGCCATCAGGTCCGCCAACTCGGGTCCAGTTGACGACAATCGACGCCAATAGTATTAAAGTCGACTGGTTTTCACCACCTTTTCATCAAATCAATGGCGAACTGAAAGGATTTTATATCGGATATAAAGCGCTCAATACTAACGACCCGTTTATCTATAAGACCGTACAAACAAAGCCGAACCTGGATTTGGGCTCTGCTTTCTCATTGATATTACAGGGGCTCAGGCCTTACACACACTACTCAGGTATGCTTTTAATGGATTTGGCATTAGATGGACACCAATTCAAACATTATTCCATTAAAACAAGTGCATGAGATTAATAAGTTATACAAAATATATTTTGAGTGCTTATCAAATAAACTAATTCTTTATTTATTTGGTATTACTTTGCAATTACTATAGTTATAGTTCAGGCGTACAATAACGTGGGCGCCGGTCCCCGATCTGACGAGATGACTGTCCGCACGGGAGAGAGCATACCGTCGAGTGCTCCGACGGGTGTCAGTTGTGTGTCATTCTCATCGCAAAGCATAACCATCTCGTGGAACAGTCTATCGGAAGACAGCATTAATGGTGTCTTAAAGGGATATCGAGTTTATTACAGACCCACTGATAATAAAGATGTGATGAAAAATGAAGTAACGGCTCAACAAAACAAACTAACACTCTATGGACTCCAGAAGAATGCCAACTATTCGATGGCTGTGAACGCGTTCAATCAGATGGGAAACTCTGCGTCGACCAGTATTTTCTGCAAAACACAGGAAGACCTGCCCTCACAACCCGATGCCATCAAAGCATTTCAATCGAGTCCTGATTCGGTGATTGTCAGCTGGAAAGCACCCAAACAAGCGAATGGAGTGATCAGAAAATACTCAATTTATAGGAAAAGTACAAATGAAGAGGAAGTGACCAGTTTTACAGTGCCTTCACATCTTTATTATCAGTGGGTCTGTAATAAACTCGATATCCCTTTAAGACACCATTAATGCTGTCTTCCGATAGACTGTTCCACGAGATGGTTATGCTTTGCGATGAGAATGACACACAACTGACTCGGTGATTGTCAGCTGGAAAGCACCCAAACAAGCGAATGGAGTGATCAGAAAATACTCAATTTATAGGAAAAGTACAAATGAAGAGGAAGTGACCAGTTTTACAGTGCCTTCACATCTTTATTATCACAAAACAACTAATTTGATTAGAGGTCATAAATATGCCTTTTGGGTGACCGCATGGACTGCTGTCGGTGAAGGACTCAACTCTAATATCGTTAACGTTATTATCGCTACAAAAAGTATTCATTTTGTCTTAAACTCTTCAACCATTAAACCATTAATTGATTTATTCATTAAAATTTTCAGTTTCTGCGCGAATCGTCTCATTCGGTGATCAAATTGAAGAGACTGTCGGACAAAATGTGGAACTCCTCTGCAAATCAGTTGGAATTCCTGAACCAAATACCGAATGGAAAATCAACGGACGATCTCTTGATTTGGATGGAATCGTTAGCAACCAAAGGATCCAAGTCTTAATGAATGGATCCATAAGAATATCAAACGCAACACTTAATGATTCCGGAAATTATTCATGTTTTGTATCCAATATTCATGGATTTGATACCATTTCATATGAACTGAATATTAAAAGGGATTCCAACTCTAATTATCCTTTGTCTCCAATTGTGGAAGTGCTGAATGTGACGAGCAGTTCCATTATGATTAAATGGACATTAAGAGGCAATGAATTGGCGCCCATTAGAGCACATGAAGTATACTTCAGAAGCAGTCAAAACAAGGAGTGGAAGTATTATATAATTACAGACGAAGGACTCGATAAGAATAAGACGTTTTCAATCGAGCACTTGTTGTGCGGAAATCTCTATCAAATATATGTGGTTAATGTCAACACTTTTGGCAAAAGTAGTCCTTCAGATGTACTCAATGTACGGACACTCGGAAGGGAACCCATTTCACCGCCTTTTAAGTCATTCATAACTAGACTTAACTCGACTTCAATTAAGCTAAACCTCAACACATGGAAAGACGGCGGCTGTCCCTTCACTTCCCACCCAATCATTCAATGGAAACCCATTGAATCAAATCAATGGAATCTATTGTTTGTAAATTCTGTGTTAGAAACCGCTGTTATTAACGAATTTAAATCAAACAGAAACTATAAAATCAAAGTAATTACGAAGAATAGCGCCGGGACTACAGCCGTTGAATACGATATCGAGCCCTACGGCTCAGCCAATAATGTCTACCATATTTCAGGTCACTCTCCGGTCCAGATAGCGGTCGAACACTTCGACAATAAAAGTGGTAATGAAGACAATGAAGTGATTCCAGTGCTGTTCACAGTTGTCATATCAGTCATCCTATTATTAGCGGGACTTTTGGCGATCTTTATATTATACAAAGCAATGCAAAAGAGATTCAATCAAAACCCATGTGAAGAACGGACTCCAAATACAGACAATATATTCAGAAAAGTAGCGCTCATTCATAGCAATAAAAATGGTAAACGAGTGTCAGAACAGATGGATGTGACCACCGCTGAACTCACGAGTCTTACCTCTACTGAAGATCATATGCGACTCAAAGCTTACAGTAAAAGCACAGAATCGATGACCACTTCATTTCAGTGCAAAGAAGACACTACTTATAAATACGTATCGATACCTAAACAGGAGATCCCATCCGATTACTATTCAATTGTTCACAAGAATAGGAAATGTAAGACAAATGCAAAACAGACGCTCATAATAGACGTGAAACAGAGATCACCGGAAGAATCGCCGAATCGGTATAGCCTTCCGAACACAATGTTTGACAACGAGAAACAAACGGAAGTCGACTCTCATCCCAACGATTGTTGCGGTTATTTAGTCGACAATCAAAAGCCAGTCGATTGTGTCTGTTGTGCCCTCTTTGACGCCGACTGTTGTAATAGTGGACACAATTGGCAACCGGTTTGTCAGTTCGACCCCAACTCCGCACAAATGCCGTCGTCTTATAGCAGAAAATTTAATAATTGATTATATTTTCAAAACATTTTATGCAATCTTTTCTAATCAATGAGTCTATTGTTTTGAGAAATATACAGATTATATACCGAAAGCACAAAATTCTAGTCATTTACAGAATTCAGATACTTTTACTCAGAATTCAGTTCTCGTTTTGTATGAAATAAGAGCTAATTTTAGTTCAAATCATCTCAAAACACATTTTTATAATCAATTTGTATTCGTCTTTAAATTATAAATTTTATTGTAAAATAAATTTTTTAAATAAAAAGTTGACAATAAATTCAAAATTTAACTATTCTTTTGATTGTTTCCGTCTTCACAATCATTGGCTTCGTGTCCATCACTTCCGCATCTATGCTATGATTGGCTCCAACTGTGGGTAAAGTGAGTTCTTTCTCTAATTCTTCGTCTGAAGAATAAGACAATTAATATATGGCTAACATCTTAAGCATTGGACTCAATGAATGCAAACCTTTTTGATTTTGTGGACAATCTTTGATAAGATGATTGACTGAATGGCAGGCCTTACAAGAGCCGCCTTTTGGATAGACTCCGCGTGTATTGCGAGGACAGTCACGGGTGATGTGTTTGTTTTGAGAAATATACAGATTATATACCGAAAGCACAAAATTCTAGTCATTTACAGAATTCAGATACTTTTACTCAGAATTCAGTTCTCGTTTTGTATGAAATAAGAGCTAATTTTAGTTCAAATCATCTCAAAACACATTTTTATAATCAATTTGTATTCGTCTTTAAATTATAAATTTTATTGTAAAATAAATTTTTTAAATAAAAAGTTGACAATAAATTCAAAATTTAACTATTCTTTTGATTGTTCCCGTCTTCACAATCATTGGCTTCGTGTCCATCACTTCCGCATCTATGCTATGATTGGCTCCAACTGTGGGTAAAGTGAGCTCTTTCTCCAATTCTTCGTCTGAAGAATAAGACAACAATTAATATATGGCTAACATCTTAAGCTACTTACGTTTGGAAAAACTAAAACACCTGTTAGAAACTATTCTACTAACTGACTTACCGTCCGGAATGTTCTCGGCGGAAAACCTATCTGAGGCGCACATAACGCTCCTGTCAGTGCCCACTACACTCCGACCTCTGAGCACATGAAGCACTTGACAAAAGGTAAACCATTGCTCTTCTGATGACATTCTGACAGTTTATGTTCAGAAGAGCCGCATCGGTAACAGACGTCCACTCCTTCTTCGCAGTCGTTCCCATTGAGCGGACATTCGGCTAATTTGTGACCAATTTGTCGACATTTAAAGCATTTTTTGCTACAAATCTTCATGTATTGGATCTCTTCTTCGCGTCTCCTCTTACGGACCAATTCTTTGATTTCCGATTCTTCGAAACCCTTTTTCCTCAAACCCTTCTTCATGTTATAGATCTTCTTCTCCGCCTTCGGAGACAATAAAATCATTCCTCTTTCCATCCGATTCTTAAGACATTTGTCTCGGAATCGATTGGTTTTGAATGAGTTCTTCGTTGACATGTCTTTATGTTTGACGTCCTTTTGGTCGCTGACTGTCATCTCATCGTTTGTGTCCACTCTATGGTCTGTCGAAGAATTATTATCCCTTTCACTGATGGCCACAGATTTCTTCAGACGTTTCTTCGATTTACTCTTTTCTTTCTTCACATCATTACTCTTCAGATTATCATTACTTGTGTCCACAATATCAGTGATAATAAATGAGTTCCTCTTTCGGGCCTTCATTTCATAGATTTAAATGAATTTCAAATTGAAATCAATTCAAAAACACATGTTTTGTATGTTTTTCCAAACGCTCAGTACTTTTAGCCGTAATTTATGACTTGTTTTCAACAATTTGTTTACAATTCCTGTGAAACACATCCAAAGAAATGGCAAAATTAGGTCCGCTTTCAGACATTACACCCGATACTCATAGCAATTAAGTGATACTAAAGCATGTGATTTGTGTCCAAACAGTGAGTTTCGGCGGTTTCGGTCACCATATGAGGACCTCATGGATGGCTCAACACAAGTGTCTGGCGTTGACTTCGACGCCACTGAGAGCGCAGTCCTCGTCCTCGTCCTCCTCCGAGTTGTCGACCAATCCGTCGACACTTCCGGTCAACAAAAAGGGATACTCGCCGTTCACCCAACCGGCGTCGCGTGCGGACTACGCCCTGTCCCGTGTGGACGACCTGCTAAACTGGGCGCGAAAGAACTCTCTGTGGCCGCTCACCTTCGGACTCGCCTGTTGTGCGGTGGAGATGATGCACATCGCGGCCCCCAGATATGACATGGATAGGTTCGGGGTCGTGTTCAGGGCCAGTCCACGCCAGGCCGACGTGATCATAGTGGCCGGCACTCTCACCAATAAGATGGCGCCCGCCCTCCGCCGCGTCTACGACCAGATGCTTGAGCCCCGTTGGG